CTCATTCACTTAAATGCATAAGGGATGAGAACTAGAAGCTCACCTGTCTTTTAACTCTTAACCAGTTAGTCTATACTTTACATTTTGAGTGCACAGGCCTGAATGAAAGGAGTATATTATTTTGTGCACTGATAACCCACTTGCTTCATCCACATAGACATGTACAGAGCCTAACACACACATTCAATGAGCAAGGGCTCTCTCATTCTCTTTGTCTCTCTCTTGCTTTTTCTTCTCCTCCTTCCCCCAGGGAACTTAGCCTTGTAAAATTAAACTGTGCTGTTTTGGAACTTAGGTTTTTTTTTATATGGCACATTTTCATGCAGAAAAAATTGAATTATTGATTGAATTGTGCTGTTAGAAGTAGGTTCATAATAAATAGGTTACTGGTTGATAAACTTGCAAACAGAACAAAGCCAAAAATTGTACTTGTTACCCCCTGTTGAATCTGGCCTTCTGTTTCAAATTAATTAGATTTTTGGACAACTGTGCTGAACTTTGTCACATCCTTATTAAAATTATTTAAGGATTTTGAAAAACATCTCAGAGGGACTCTGAAACTAATCAGAGTTTGGTACTGGAAATTGCATTAACAATCGTAAACCTGATTAATCTTTTACCCAGTTACCTTATTGATTATTGCTGCAATTACTACAAATAACAGATCATGCAAAGAATAGCAGTGAAACACATATTTTTTAACTGCTGTTCATATATTTAGTGTTAACACCTTTGCTATATGTTTAATATATAATTTTTGTATTGTTAAATACTGCAGCACTCCAAAGCTAGAAAGTTTCATGCTAAATATGGTCTCAGTATTAGGAGATTCACTTCTTTGTTTTTCAAATAATGTGGCATTTCAGTTTACAAACTGCCTCTCACTGGTTCTGTTCTTGCAGTTTAAGCTTTGGGCTTCAGAGTGATGTATATAATAAGGTAGCTTTCCCCTCCCCCCCCACTTATGAGAAATTAGTGTTCAGTCAGGTTAAATGACTTCCTGAAGGCTCCCCAGATTAATGAGAGGCAGATTCAGGATGCAACCCCATTTTAACAACAACTATTTATTAAATACTTACTATGTACAGACATTTGTGATAGGGATAAAATAATTTGTGATAGGAGTAAAATAAAGACCAAGACAGACTTATAGAAGTTAAGCCAAAAGAGTTATTACTGTTGGTTATTTTCTTTTTTTGTCCAACTCATGTTAAAATATCTTTATACATAAGGTGTAGAGGTTTAGGTAGTTCCAGATACTCAGGAAACAGAGATTGATAGAATTCTGATTTGAGGACAACATGGGCAAAAAGTTAATAAGACTCCATCTCAATTCACAAGCTGGTTGTGCTGGTACATGTATGTGATATTAGGTATACAGGAAGTATAGGTAGAAGATTGTGGTCTAAGATAGGTCCTGGGGGGGAAAGAAAGATTTTTTTTTTTGATGTTCATGCTTATTTGTCTTTTGTTTTTGTCTAGTGACATTCCCTCTTTGTCATCACAGATTATAGAACAAATTTCGAGATAGTTCTTCCCCCCTCCCTCCTCTGGTCCTGGGGCCTGAACTCAGGGCCTGGACACTGTCTCTGAGCTTCTCTGTACTCAATGCTAGAGCTCTACCATTTGAGCCACAGTGCTACTGCCAGTTTTTTCTGAGTAGTTTACTGGAGATAAGAGTCTCATGGACTTTCCTGCCTGGACTGGTTTTGAACTGGTCAATCCTTAGATCTGTCTTCTACATAGCTAGGATTACTGGTGTGAGCTACCAGTGCTTGGCCAAGAGAATTCTTTTAAAAGAAGAATATAATAATAAAAAGACACCGAGGATCAAGATCTAAAAGCAGCTCGCTTTGCAGTTCATTAATTTCTTCCCCATATGAGGTTTAGAGCAGTCCTCTGAGTAGATCCTGTCTTCCTTTAGAGCTGAACTGGGTAAAGTGGGTGCCTTGGCTAAAAGCTTTGCTGGGCCCACGTGCTATAAGACAGAAGATGTCTAGTGGTGAATCACCTGTGACCGAGCCCTTGGACTCTTCTGTTTTGTTCTTCTTCCTGGGCAGCATAGTCAAAGTGGCTCAGAAGTACTACTCTGCCAGGAGATACCATCCATGCCTTGGGGAATGCTGCCTGTGCAGTAGCCTGAGTGCTGAAGCCTGGGGGCCTAGTGATAGTGACTGGCCTCTTTAGCTTGTTCCTCAGAGAACAGTGTGTACCTTAGCCCTTCCATGAGGGTTTGGTTACTGCCCTGATGGTGCCTATTTGTTAGTGAATTACTTTGCTTGTGGAACCCAAGATTTGCTGTTAATATGAACACAGATCAAGCCTATTATATCAGCAGGAGAAAGCACACTTGGAGTTGGGAGAGTTATGTAAAAGAAAAAGCCTAACTAATTGCTTTAGAGAAACTGGTAAGTGGCATACTAAAATGTCATCAGAATAATCATGGTACAAAGAGATGTATATAGATTATTAATTCTCACAGTGATCACAGGCATATGTATACTTTGCCAGTTGATTCAGCACAAACCTACAGTAAAAAGGAAATGGTTTTTATTTATTTTGTGAAGTAAATAAATAAAGCTGGAAAACAGATCAATATCATGCATGTAAGGTTTTATAGTAGGAAAAAAAATGTATTGCCCCTGTTCTGACCCTTTGCATTTGAGGTTTGTTTTCAAACTTGACCCCAAGCACCCACTTCAGACAACTCTATAATTAATTTGTTAGATAAAGCATAAGGATATTTTGTCTTGATTTCTAGGACTATGATGAAGTAGTAGCTGAAATTACTAACCTATTGTACATAGCAGTTAATTAAAGAAAAGCATTAACTATAGGAGAACACCACTGCGGCTGTTGTCTTGTATCAGTATAAAAAGGCAGTAATTTTTCTGACAGCCACTGATTGGAAAGTTGCTTGCAGCCTTCCAGAAGCAAGGGGTACATGCTGTGGATCAATAACCGGCAAATTTCCCATTAAAAAGAATACCTGAGCAATGTTTCAAATAGCCACTGGCATCTACACTTTCCACAGAAACCTCAAATACTTGTGTGCTGAGGACAAGTCATTTTCGGACAATTTTTCCAGACTACTTGTTAACAGTTATTGCTGTCCCAAAAGGTTGACGGCCTACATGATTGATACTTCATTTACTTGTCATCGCTGTTTGAATAATGGCAAGAGCTGTATTTCTGTGGTTCTGAGGAAGAACCTTCAGAAAGGTGCTGCTTTATTCTAGAGCGTGGTTTGCAGATGTTTATGCTGTGTATGTGTATTAAAGTTTTTGGTTCCATTGTAGAGGAGGCTTTCCTTCACTCTGAAAGCCTTTGGAGAAGAGTAGATTTATATCTGCCCATAGCTATCAAAAGTTTACCTGTACTGTATTTGTCTTTAATACAAAAAGCTTTAGATTTGTTAACTTGTGATTCCTGATATGATGAAGAATTTTATAGCTTCCTTTTATTTTTAAGGGGAAAATGAACATAAAAGCAAAAGGAAGGGTATGTGTCTTCTGGAAAAGAGACATTTTTTAGAATATCAGCAAAATATGATAGTCAAGGAGGATTTTCCTGGGAATGTGGTGTTCAAGTAGTATGTATGTGTTTTAAAGATTAAAACAGCAAAGATGAGAGAGGAGTTCTGCTCTTTGACAGCCCTTAAGACACAAAAATCAATGGTTTATACTGTTGATGTTTTTCTATAATGAGCATTTTTTTTCTTTTTAGTGGTACTAGAGTTTGAACTCAGGGCCTTGAGCTTGCCGGGCAGGCAGTCTGACACCTGAACCATGTCCTATTGTGCATTGATTATGTTAAAATAGGGCCTCAGTTTTTGTGTGGGTTCACCCCTGGGCTATAATCCTCCTATTTTATACTTTCCACTCTAGGTGGGATGACAGGCCCTCACCGCTATGCCTACTTTCTTTCATTGAGATAGAGTCTTGTAAACTTTCTTGTCCAGGCTGGCTTGGAATCTTAGATCTTCCATTCTTTGCCTCGTGTGTAGGTGGATGACAAATGTATGTCGCTGTCCAGTTACTGGTTGAAATTACAGGTATGAACCATTGTACCCAGCTAGTATTTTCTTGTCAGTATTAAAAACAGTGACCACACTGGACTGGCACAGTGATAGAGCACTATTTGTGAGACTCTGAGTTTGATCCCCAGCCCGACAAAAGAAACAAAACAACAAAAGGAAAGAAAAGCAGTTGCAGCACAGAAGCTATTTTACTATGCTCACCAATTAGCACACTAGGAAAGAGGATGTAGAATACAGTGTAGCCTGTTTAGTGTTTTGTATTTGTAAAAGACAATGAAAGCTTTTTTTGAAGGGGAGGGGTCAGACTGGAGCTTGAACTCACTGGCATTATGCTCATTCACAGCAGGTACTTTGCCACTTGATCTACATTTCCAGTCTGACTTTTGCTGGTAATTGGAGATGGTGTCTTGTGGACTTTTCTGCCTAGTCTGGCTTCAAAGATCCTCTAGGTCTTAGCCTCCTGAGTAGCTAGGATTACAAGAGCCACAGGCAATTTTAATAATGTGTGTGTGTGTGCGCGCGCGCGTGCGCGTGTGTGCGCATGTGTGCGCGTGTGTGCGTGTGTGTGTGTGTGATACTACCTCTTGAGCCACAGCTCCACTTCCAGCTTTTTGGTGGTTAATTAGAAATAGGGTCTCATAAACTCTTCTGCCCAGGTTGGCTTTGAGCTTTTGTGATTTCAGCCATCTGTGTAGCTAGGATCACAGATGTGAGCTACTGGTGCCTGACAATAATGTAGTCTTAATACTTTTAAGGAAAACTGGTAGCACGGAGGACAACAGTATTCTGGATGCTCAGTCCTGAATGTGTTCACTGTAGTCATTTTGATGTGCAAATAGGGGGGGAGTATTCTCAAGGCTGGTATATGTGCAATTTACAAAAGTCCTATAAATTAAACAACCCGTAAGTGTCTGTTCCAGTATTCATACATTACTGAGTAATTTCTATAATCTCTTTGCAGTATTATTCCACAGTAATGGAACAGCAAGTGAATGGACAGCTAATAGAGCCACTGCAGATATTTCCAAGAGGTAATGTCGAAGAAATTCTAATCAACAATGATTATTTCAGTAAACGGTTTCATCAACAGTTATGTTTTCCAAAGGTTTAAATGCACATAACATGATGCTTAGCTCTTAATTTGAAAAAACAAAAGAAGTATTCATTATCGTGGGGATTGCAGGCTATATTATAGTTATAGTAGATAAAATATCTAATTTACTTGAGTAAATTAAGCTAACTAGGTTGTTTTTGTTTTTGAAGTACATACTTATATTTGCTGAAAGAACTCTTTAGGGGTCCACATGCTTTCTAAACCAAGGCAAATGAATGACTTGAATTCTAGATATTTATGAATTGTGGCTTGGGATGATGACCATCACTACTGAGGAGAACCTTTCACCTTGCACAGAGGGGTTTCAGGAGAGAACTTTGGGTAGATAGTTGATGCTTCATGTTTGGGGAAGTATTTTCTAAATAATGAAATACCTTCTTAAGTGGAAATTTGATTGTTAAGTCTCCAACATTATGAGCTGATGAAGGTGAGTTTCAGTGAACTACCTGGTACAAGATTTTTCCCCCTTATAGTTTTGGAAGTATTAGTCTTGTATCAAATATAATTGCTCAGATGTATATAAATGTCTCCTTAAAACTTGAATAATGGGGAAAAAGAACAGTTTAATTATATATATATATCTTTAATCCATTGTACATCACCCCATTTGAAATTCATGTTTTCTAAGTAAGGGAATAGGTAAGGAAATTCTGTAAGTAACTCTTCTAGAAATAACTTAATTGAGATAATTAAAAGTTAAACTTACCTTCCTTAACTAATACTGTACAAATAATCATGGTATGAGTTTTCCAATTAAACATTCTAGACTTTCATTACCTATAACTCTGAAATTTGAATGGCTCAATTAACCGGTAGGCTCTTCCTTGCAATGATAAAATCTCCAAAGGCACCTGGCTTAGCCAGCGTCTAAAATCTGGGTTCAGGAGTAATACTGTTCTTCTGGTGTTTGCATAGGAAGCAGAATTGGGGTGCTTACTACATTTTTAATAACTTATCAAAGTAAAATAGAGCCATTTAAGATCAATAGTATCTGAAAGAAATATAATTAATACAAAATCTGTTTCACTTGAAAACTAAACAAAAAAAGAAGGATAGAAAAGAGTGAAAGGAAGACAGAGAAAGAGAAAGAGAGAGCCTTTTCTATGTTATTAGGTTACTAGCAAGGATGCAGATTATTTTTAATGTTTTCAGTGAATGGAGAATTTGGGAAAAGTTCAAAATAATTTTTCTATTAAGGAACAGTTGAAATATCTGGAAATTTTCCTTAATTGCTTCAGAGGTCTGGTAAAGTGAGCATATGTACAATAGTACAGTATCCTGGAGGATTCTAGTTCCAAGGCTGGGTTTGGGACATTTCTTTTCTTGTTTTTTTTTTTGAATGAAATGCTTCTCTTCATCTGAAGTTTTTCTAAGTTGAGGTTGCTTTTTTCCATTGTGTGCGCAGTCCTCCAGTTTCATTGTCTACACTTTCATTTCCATTCTCAGACATTAGCTCTATTCATCATCGACATTACTGTTTGCTATCATTTCTTTCAATATGCCTCTGAGGTATGATTGTTTCTGTTTTTAAAAACCCTCCCTCCCTCCCTCTCTCCCTCCCTTCCTCCCTTCCTCCCTTCCTTCCTTCCTTGTCATGGGGCTTGAATTCTGGGCCTGGGCACTGTCCCTGTGCTCTTCAGCTCAAGGTCAGTGCTTTACCACTTGAGCCACATCACCACTTCCGGTTTTCTGGTGGTTTATTGGATATACGAGTCTCATGGACTTTCTTGCCTAGGTTGGCTTTGAACTGGGATCCTCAGATCTCAGCCTCCTGAGTAGCTAAGATTACAGGTGTGAGCCACTGGCACCCAGCTTTGTTTTTTAAATCTCTCTCTCTCTCTCTCTCTCTCTCTCTCTCTTTCTCTCTCTATTTCGGTGCTGGTCCTGGGGTTTGAATTTAGGGCCCACTCTCATGCTGTCTCTGGGTTTTTTGGCTCAAGGTTTACATTATACTATTTGAGCCATAGCTTCACTTCTAGCCTTTTGGGTAGTTAATTGGAGCTGTCTCATGGACTTTGCTGCATAGTCTGGCTTTGAACTGCTGTCCTCAAATCTAAGCCTCTTGAGTAGCTGGGATTATAGGCGTGATCCACCAGTGCCTGGCTGATTGTTTCTCTTTTATGGGTAAAATTGTTGAGGCTCAGAAAGACGAGATAACTTCAAAGTCAGACAGCTTCTGTGAGTGGTAATATACCCTTTGAGTAAGAATTTTGTTTAAATTGTAATTTGCTTTCAATGGAAAGGCATTTAAGTTAAAATATTAGAAGAACATTCAGGAGGATAGTTTGGAAGGTTTGATGGAAGGTTGGGAGGAGACTAGGTGTTTGAGAGAACTGTAAAGTAGAAGATACTAGATATTACTGAAATAAAACTTTCTAGGCTTAATATATTAGTCTTTTCAAGCCAAATTTTCAATTTCCAAACATGAAAGTTCAGTCTTCTTATCTCTGGAGTTTTTGTGTATTGTAATACAATTCTTTTGTTTTTTGTTTTGTCTTTGTTCAGAGGTGTTAGATATCAATAAGTATGAAACTTGACTAAGCTCACTTTGAGCCTGAGGATCAATGAAAATACTGGGGTTTTTGAATGTTGTTTAGATTTCCAGTCATAAAAATTTGAGAAAGCAATTATGGAAGGAACAGTGTTGAGGTTAGGTAAGATAAATACCTGTAATCTTCAGTGGAAACATTCTCAGTCATTGTCTTAGGAAGTACTGATAGTCCCCCAAAGACCAGGCATCAAATGTATGTGATGGTTGTTTTGTTCAAAGAGTTAATTTCCATCTTAAGGAAAGAAGATGTGTAGTCATAATTTTAATGTGCTTTAGCACGATAAGTAAAACCCTTTTAGTTGTGTTTAGATGCATTTTCTAGGAAAACAAGATAATAAATTTGAGTTTACTTGAAATATACAAAATGAAAGCAATTCATGCCTTGTAATTATTACCCATATATTTTTATTAAACAGCTCTATTTCTTTTCAGAAACAGAAAAATACATGTACATCTGAGAGAGGAGCAAAATAAAATTCAAATTAATCTGTCCTCAAACAGTCAATCAAAATTGACAATCCTTTAACATACAATTTGTAGAGCACTATAGTTTTCAAATGAAAGTAGTCTATCACATGGGCAGGAAGCTTTTGTATTTTTAACATTTGACTATGAAGAAGCATTTGTTGAACTGGAAAAAAACAAATCTGTAACTCAAGATTGTATTAAGAAATTAATATTTTTCTTGGTACTACTTTATACTAAATATTGGCAGATTTCAAAGATCTGTGAGAAATTTAATGGAATTACATGTCTGTATCTTAATAAATTTGACTGTTTATAACTATACACAGTAATATTCTAACTTAAACATTTTGTTTAGAGTCCCTAGTGATCTTTTTTGGTGTTAAAACAAAAAATCCTTCCACTTCCTCTCCCAAACAAAACAAATCCCCCCAAACCTTGCTATTTTGAAAGTAGTTTAACTCACAGCAGATATACAATGTAATAGAGTGAGGAAAGATTGCTGAAATTAGAATTATGAAAGGAATCTAATCATTTTAGCTCAGTTAACTTGATTTTTATATATTTTACAGAGAAATTGGAATTGATATGAAGTGGTGTCAGAAAGCTCTTTGCATTTATAAATGCTCACTCCTGCAAGTTAAAACCCTGGTTCATAATTCCCACTTTGGGTCTTGGGAGCCACTTTTCAATCATTTCTCTCTGCTAATTTTGGTGTCACCCTCATTTCTTTTTAAACGATTCATTTTGAGCAAATTTGTAAATGGCCCTGATGTGTTCTACAATTTAGTCAATTACTGTTTCAGCCTGCAAGCCTCCTGGGGAACGGAACATACATGGCCTGAAGGTATGAATTTCAATAATTGTTTCAGTAAAGTTAGATGGATTTGTAATGCTGTGTTCCACTTATTGAAATGTCAAATAAAACTGCACTTTCTCAAGCCCTGACAAGCGATCTCCCCCCTCCCCCCCTCCCGCTTTTTTAAATGGGAGGAGGAGGGGGCTGTTTATCTGTAGCATTTACTTACTGGGGTTTAGATGCTGTATCTTTAATTATTTGGAATTGCTTTAGTGGTCAGTTTCTTTAGGGTGATCTTGGGTACTAGTGCCAAGAAGATTTATTAGAGGGAGAGAGTAGACTTCATTTCAGTGATTAAGCACATAAGCAAAGCACAGAGAACCTCATCTTCTCCTTTTGACATGTTTGTACTGGAAACATGTCTTGTTAATGTCTCTTCATTGTTCTATGCATTTTGAGTTCTGGATTTCTGCTTAAGGCTTCAAAGATGAAAGTAAGTCTGTTTTAGTAGGCTCAAGTATTTTATAATTAATTACTTGGATCTCATATTCTAGTGAATAAAAAACAGCCTACAATGTTTGGTTTTAGAGCTGGAAGGATGATACCTTGAGGTTTTCTGCTAACCCCTAGATATATTCTTAGTATACTTTCATGAACCTATCATATTTACATGTGTTTTGGATAGTAAATTGGATTTTTCCTTTATTTGTCTTTCATTTTTCAGTGCTGTTAAATTATTTAAATGATAACAGAAATAGAGGGTTATATAATGTACAGATTGTACAGCCCCTAACCTATATATTGAATAGACTCCAACTGTGGGTCTGTCTAGGAATAAGCTAATTAACCTTTCCAGTGAAATGAGAAATCTGTGGCAAATTATAGGTTAATTAGAACTGTGTCCTCAGAACATGAGACTGATCAAGATTCTTTCTTTCCTTATAGGTGAATACCCGGGCTGGACCCTCCCAGCACACTAGCCCAGCAGTCTCAGATTCACTTCCAAACAGTAGGTGAGAGTGATTGAGGGGTGATCTCTGTGATTATCTACAAGATACAAGTAGGATGGAGAAGAGGCTTGTGGGATGACAACTCTTTCCTGTAAGAACAAGAAATGTGTTGGAAGGCTAAGATTGGCAGGATCTCTGTTCCAAGCCAGCCTTGGGAAGAAAAGTCTGTGAGACCACATTTCCATGGAAGAAATGGGGCATGATGGTTTATATACACACATGATATTCTAGCTACAGTGAGCAGTGTAAGTAGGAAGATAGCAGTCCAGAGTGAGCCCATGCAGGAATTGAGATCCTATTTATTAACTTATTTATTGTTGGTACTGAGTTTGAATTCAGGGTCTTATTCTTACAAATCAGGCACTGTACTAAATGAACCATAGTCCCAGCCCATTTTTAGTTTCATTTTTCAGATAGGGTTTTGGTTGGTTTTCCCTTCCTTTCTTCCTACTTTCCTTCCTTCCCTCCCTCCCTTCTTCCCTCTCCCTCCTACCCCCTCTTCCTTTTTTGCCAGGGTTCTTGGACAACAATCCTGTAACCTTCCTCTCCTGAATAGCTGGAATTACAAGTGTGTGCTACCACCTCTGGCTCCTGATAATTTTATTATGGTGTCAGTGTGTCTACCCACCAGCTTCCTGATGTGAACACATATCTCTTAAGCAACTTATTTTATCATAGAGTATAGTTAACTAGTTATTTACCAGTGGATCATTTGCCTGTACTCATGCAGGGAAATATTTCTGTTCTCCACAGAGAGGTTGACCCAGCTGAGCTTCGTAGCTTCTTTCTCCATTCTGTCTGGACATGTGAGCTACACACAGCCTTGCAGGCCTGGTTTCTCTCAGCAACAGGAATCAGGGTGTTTCATTATTACCACTTCTTCCAGAAAAGGTGTTAGCCGCAAAGACTGATTGTGAGTCTGAGGAAAAACAAGGTCTTCCCTAGTGTTTTAGGTCAAGTTTCATCATGATCTAAAAAGCCATATGTAGTTGAAAATTGGCAAGATAGAGAATCAAGATAATGTCTCAGTTCTGCCACATTCATTTCAATAACGTGGGAATTAGCTTGATTATTAAAAATTATTCATATATATTCATGGAGTTCAGAAGTTCAGAGACTGCCTGGTAAGCTGGAGGTTTGCATTTTCACTTAGGTATAACAGATTCCCAATAGTAATAATACTAGTGATTCTTGTAGAGAATGTGAGTTGAATCACATACAAGTGATGTTCTGTGCTCTAGGCTGATAACTAATCAACAGGTATTGATTCTGACTACATCTTACTCATTAAGTGCTGTCCTGTGTACTAGGAATACAATGTGGTCCTCCTTACCTGCTGAACCTCACCATCTGGTGTGTTTGTGTGTGTGTATGTGTGTGTGTGTGTGTGTGTGTGTGTAGTATGTACACATACATGTGTGTATATATATGTATGTATATATGTATTTAGGCACACATATAGGTATATGCCTATACATATACATATATATATACACATATACATATATATATATATATATATGTAGACCATTGATATCCATAAGTGTATGGTTCCAAAAAGACTACTGTTAAGATCTATGCTTAGGATGCGTAAAGTACTGTCCTGCAGATACTTGATGTAGTCTTCCCATACTACTGCTTAACTTCCTATGAAGACAGATTCGCCACCTTTCAACACATCTAAAATTTTCACTAATTTATCACTTAAATTAAGCACATTACTTGCCCTTTTTTGGTGTGTGAAGATTAGTATAACCTTTACCTTGCTTTTGGGGCACCATTTGTTTTTGTGGGTGGCAAATTTTCACAACGTTAAGTGCAAGAAAACACTCAGCAAATCATACAGGGATTTAAACACTGTCTGATTTAAGCATAATGTTACCTGATGATAACATGGGACTGAGAGCTTCTCTCCATCAACTGAGTAATGTAATGCATGTGCAGGAATTTTGTTTTTGAAATTTATTTTGATTTTTAAAACCTTAGTGTTTTTTGACTACATTGAACAAAACCATGTGAGATACATTTGCAAATTATATGAGCTTACTGTACACAAATTATATCTTACAATTAAAGTGAAGGGAGCAAGTGGCTGGGAAGAGAAAGACCATCAGATAGGAATGTGCTTAGATTTAAATGGGTACCCCATGTGATATTTGCATCTATACCTGAAGGATAGGATGACCCAGCTATGTCAAGAAACAGAAGGAGCTGGGCACTGGTGGCTCATTCCTGTAATCCTAGCTACTCAGGAGGCTGAGATCTGAGGATCACAGTTCAAAGCCAGCCTTGGCAGGAAAGTCTGTGAGACTCTTATCTTTCAGAAAACTGGAAGCGGTGCTGTGGCTCAAGTGATAGAGCACTAGCTTTGAGCTGAAGAGCTGAGGGACAGTGCCCAGGCCCAGGTCCAGAGTTCAAGCCCCTCGATTGACCAAAAAAAAAAAAAGAGAGAGAGAGAGAAGTGAAAAAAAAAAAGAGATAGAGGAAGTGCTAAGAGAAAGCCATGAGGTGACAAAGGAGCTTAGCATATTTGCATAGGCCAGCTTGACTGGAGCACAGGAAGAGTACTGGGCACAAGTTGCATGGGAGGGAAAGAATGGGAAGAACAGCTAAAGTGGTAGGAGACAAAGATGCAGATCACATGTCCTTGAAGATCCAGCAATGTTTGGCCTTTCCTCTTGGCAACAGAATTTTGTGGCAGTCCAGGGTTCTTAGCAGGATTTTCAACAAGTACCGATGGGCAACAAGTATAGGAACTCATATTGGCCAAGACAAGCTTCTTTTGTTTTTGTGCAACTGTATGTTATGAAGATCTTTTTTTTTAGGAGACACAAAACAAAATATACTTGTAACTTTTAGCATGTTAAAAACAATCACATTGAAAAAAGTCAGAGATGACATAAGAAAATAGTGTGTGTGTGTATATTATATATATATATATATATATACAGTATTTATCACTGTTGATATCTATTTGAAACAGCTCTATTTGAAGATCTTTTTTTGCATGCTGGAATTTGTCTCTCTTTAGCACCTACTCAAGATTGTTTTTTCCTTCACAATATGACTTCATTTTTTTCAGCTGCTAGCACTTTTAGCATAGACATATCTCCTCCTTTACTTCCTGACTCAACAAATTTTCCCCATCCATTCCTTTGTAAACTGATAAGCTACTTGTCAACCTTTGCTGCCTCCTAGACCTTCCACAGCCATACATGTTCATTCTACCTTCTGAGGAGCCCTGCATCTGTCCATATGGAGCATCTGTTTGCTGCACAGGTGCGCCAGGCCTTCCAGGTCATTGCCCGGCCTCCTGGTAGCTTCTTCCAGCAGCCTTGCCTATTGTTCTCCCTTCCCCACTGTAGTTGGAGTGATATTGCCATCTTTTCCTTGAGGTAGCCTAACATTTCTAGGAAGTTCATTCAGCTCCCAGTTTTGGAGAAAAAAAGTCTAGATGGCTTGGCACAGGCTTTATGAGGGTTCTCCATTGTCTGCTTGTCCTGAGGGTGGATTGTAATGTGGGGGAGCATATGTAGGGAATAGTGATAACATCTTGGTTTGGTACAGGACTCAAGAAAGAGACTGTTTCCACGATTCCTTCTGTGAGCATACCTCTAGGCTGACCTAAATATGTGCTCCTACATGTCAGATTTTTAAAGATCTTCCCCTTAATAGTGTCACACATTGGCCATTGGGAATAAATTAACTCCAAACCATAGAATAATGCACAGTTTTGAGACCTTTCCTGTTGTTTGTGTCTTCAGATGAAGTACAACCTCCATGGATGGTGAGACCTCTGTTCCCTTTCATGTACAACTGTCTGCGTACTCCAGCTTTGCTGATGAACATTTGTGCCCTGAATAGGTCTGTGTTCTCCCACTATTGAGCTGTCACCTTTTTTCATCCCCTCCTTCACTTCAAGTCTGGCTAAGCTTAAGCTTGGGCATATTTGTGGACCATGTATCTTCTGAACACTGTCCCTGATTACTACTCACCTCCAGGTCTATACCAGATCCCCTTCTCCTTCCTATGAATTCTTGCCATCTCCCCTTGTTTGTTCGTTTGTTTGTTGCTTGCTTGCTTGCTTGATTGCTTTCTGTTGGTTGTGGGACTTGAACTCTGGGCCTGAGTACTGTCCCTCTGCTTTTCAGGACCAGCATTCTACCACTTGAGCTACAGCACCACTTCCAGTTTTTTGGTGGTTTAATGGAGATAAGAGTCTCACTTTCCTGCCTAGGCTGGCTTTGAACCTTGATCCTCAGATCTCAGCCTTCTGAGTAGCTAGGATTATAGGCGTGAGCTACTGGTGCCAACCTCTTGTTTCCTTTTATTGAAGCAGTGAGCAAATGTGTGCAAGCACCTCTTTCTCTCCATAGCTTCAGCGAGCTTTATGGACAGTGACTATATTGCCAAAATTCCAAGTCCTGGCATGGTTCACAACAAACACATAGGAGATAATTAGTCATGTTTAAATACATTCCCTTTAAATCTCACCATTGGATTCAATTCTCTTAGCTTTACTGACATGTACTTTTCATTCTATGGAAATCTCAGTTACTTTCTTCATGTGTCATTCCTTAAACTTGTATGACATTTAAAATTTAAAATGCTTTAAAAGTAATTTTTGAGGCTGGGCATGGTGGTACAAGCCTGTAATCCCAGCTACATGGGAGGTGGGAGTAGGACTGTTGTTGTTTGAGGCAAGCTAGCTTAAAGTTAGGAGATCCTATCTGAAAAAAGGTGAAAGCAAAAAGAGTTGCTTGGTGCATGGTTCAGGTGGAGAGTGCTTGCCTATAAGGATAAGCCCCTGTGTTCAGTCTCTAATACTGTAACAAAAATTTTAAAAAAAGTTTCAGTGGTTACTATGATCACATAGATACGTGAAATTTTGAATAAACCAAATCACAAAGAAATTTCCAAGGTACTTTTTTTATTTTCTTGCTTTTTTTTGTGTACATGTACTAATGCTTGAACTCAAACTCATGGCCTGTCCCTTTTTGTTCAAGGCTGGTGCTCTACTTGAGCCACAGCTCCATTTCTGGCTTCTTGGTGTTAATTGGAGATAAGAGTCTTATAGAATTTTCTGCCTGGGCTGACTTTAAACTGCAATTTTCAGACCTTAGCCTTATTGCTCTATCACTGAAATACACCCTCAACCCCTACTCCTATAGTTGTTGTTTTACCAGTTGGTAAAATGATATAATGAATGAAGTCAGTTTTTTCAATGGTTACCCTGGAAGCATGAGTTCTTTGCCTTAGGTGCGTGACTATTTACTGAACTGACTAATACTAGGCTGTAATTATGGAATTCAAGTCCGCTGCCTAAGCAGGGCCTTTCTGGAGCAACTTGGCTTTCTTCTTCTGTAAAATTAGGATGATTAAACTTTCCATCTACTTATCTCTGGAGTTAGTAAGATTGATGAAGCTGTATTAAGGGAATCACATTTCGTTCTTGGTTGAAAGGCATTTTGTAAATGCAATGAATCAAAATGTTATTATTTCAAATTTATGATAGAATGGAATAACTGTGAGGAACATTGCCTAGGCTTTGTTTATTTGTGTCTATACATAATTGGAACTATCAAATTGGGAGTTGTTCATGGGAATGTTTCTCAAAATAAAGGTGTGTGTGTGTGTGTGTGTGTATGTGTATGCCTGTAAGAGATAGACTGATTCTCAGCAAAGTCTGGCTCTTAGTTCTCTCTATAAGTTAAGGACAATGACTACATATACCCTAACAGGATAAATTAGGGTACTAACTAAATAGTACTTAGCACAGTGCTTGTCATTGGCCATCATTTAATAAATGACACCTGTTGTTAGCATTGTGCTAACTATACTGATTTTTAGGCAGTTTTTATGTCTTGGTATGTGTTGCAGCTTTAGTTCTATTCTACAAGTATTCATAACTGTCCCTTTAGTGTATAGGGTTACTTGGCTTGGGAGAACTTTACTAGTCTAGAATCTTTAGGTGAGGTCTTGTAAAATGTAGACAACTGGGGACTGAGGTGCCATAATTTACACTGGACATAGAATTTTAATTTTAGCAAGGAATTATTATAACTTGAAACCAGAATATAGTAAACTTGAACTGAAATTTTCCTCAGTGTAATGTATTAGAAGTGCTAAATGGAATGCATGTTTATTTCATATTAGGCTCTGATACCTTTTTCTTTCTGATGTGTTGCCTCTACTGCTGTCATGGTATAACTACCACAGCAACTGCCATTACTTGAACACTTAGCGCATGCCAAGTCATTGGTCTACACAGGTCGATGGCTGAGAGAAGGGAATAGATTATATTGAAGACAGAGAGAGATGTGGGCAGTGTTCTCAGGGAGCTCCCAGCCTTGTGGGGGAGGGTACATTGAGAAGAAATATATCTATACTGACTGATAACTAACAGAAGAGAGAGAATTCATCTGGTAGGCCAGTAGAGTATAAGCTATTATGTTTAAAGATAGAGTGAACATGCACTAAATTTCAAGGAGAATGCCAGAGGGAGGTATAGTTTTATTCCTCCCCTACTAGCTTTCAACTAAGTTCATCCGTGTAAGTTTTTTTGGTTGTTGTTGGTTGGTCATCGAGCTTGAACTCAGGGCCTAGGTGCTGTCCCTGAGCCCTTTTGCTCAAGGCTAGCACTCTACAACTTTGAGCCACAGCTCCATTTCTGGTTTACTGGTGGTTAATTTTTGATAGGAGTCTCACAGACTTTACTGCCCAGGCTGGCTTTGAATCATGATCCTCAGATCTCAGCCTCCTGAGTAGCTAGTATTACAGGCATGAGCCACTGGTGTTCAGCCTCCACATAAATATTTGTATAGTATATTAGCTTTCCATTACTGTAACAAATACCTGATATAATCAACTTCCAAAGAGGGAAGATTTCATTCTATAGTTGACCCATTGCTGTTGGCTCATTGTTGTTACAGTATGTTATGGTGGAAGCTTGCTCACCTCATGGTGAATTGGGAAGCAGAACGAGAAAAAGAGAGGGGGAAGGAGAATGGAAAGGAGTGAGGGAGGCAGGGGGGAGAGGTGGAGTATCCTAAGAAAGCATGGCCCAGTGAACTTAACTCTACCACTGGGTCCCATCTTTCAAAGTTTCTACCACCTCCTAATACCCCCAATCTGGGAACCAAGCTCTTAAAACACCCTTGGGGTACGCTCAAGGTCCAAATTGTGGTACACAGCCATATATGATCTGCTACATGTGCAAAGAACATTATAATATTTGTGAAATAACACATTTAAAAATGTGGTCACAGTGACAAGACATAGTGCTGTTTTATAACGATTCATTTTCCCTGTTGCTTTTGTAAAGTTGCAATTTTCCTCATTTTATAAAAAGATAATTGAAGTTCAGAGAGGATAAGTAATTTTTCCTTGATCACATAGCTTTTGAGAACCAGGCTGTATTTTCATCATACGTTGCTTCCCACATAGTTGAATTGTTATTCTTAACGGCAAGAATTGATACTATTTTATCTTTTGATGTTCTGTGATCTGTTGACTATGAATATTCGGAGAGTTTATTTGTTAAATACTTTGTGCTGAGCACACAAGAGTTTCCATCCATATAAAGTTGCCACTGAAAAGCTACCCAAAGGTAGCAAAATGAATGGCCAAAATAGTCACGACAGTAGCCCATAAAGTGACTGCAGGCTTCTTTATTGCTGTAAATTACTAATGGTGTTTCATTTTCCTCATTGATACCTTTAGCATTGAGTTTAAAAGCAGAACACATTTTCCACAGGAAGAAGGAGTATAATTCATGACTATCTAAAAGCAAGGGTCTATATTTATATGAGATTTTCAGTGATGTTCAGAGATGAAGGTGATCTTACCACTAAACTTTTCTTTCTTTTTCAGCCTAAAGAAGTCATCTGCTGAACTGAAAAAAATCTTAGCTAATGGTCAGGTAGGTAATATTGTATATTAAGATTTTCACATAGTAATTTACTACTGTCCAGTTATTTTTAATCCATAAACTTGTTAAACAATGAAGAGCCTGTGAATTTCTTCCTGTCATAAATGAATAACCTGGCTTAATTTGATTGGCAGAACAATTTACAGCACATTTTTCAAACTGTGTTAATGGGTTTCACTCCCAGCAGATTGAAGTTCTGTGCACACACCCTGCTGCCATCTCAGTTTAAAAAAAGTTAATCAGTTCTGAACAAGTGTGTCAACCCATGGGTTGTTGAACTTGCCCTGCATTCTTTCATTATCTTTGAGGATAAAAGGAAAAACTGCTACTTTCTTACCTTAGCTCTTTCTTTTGTCTTGAAACGAATAATGGCTTTATTGGGGGAACTGAGAAACAGCAGACCTTTGGCACATAAAATCCCTGGGCTTCAAGAGACTTGGCTTGCCTAGTCAATGGGCCATCTGAAGTCGAATGACCTAACCCAGCCAGTGAGGGACAATCAAGCCTGCAGGCCAGTTATTTCTCACTAATTTTGATTCAAGTAAATGGACACATCTGAAATAGTGTAGCACTTTTAAACATACACTGGTAAATTAAACTACCTACAGGGTTCTCAATTCCTCAATAGAAACATAAATGTGTATAATGTTTGTTATAGTGGAAGCCCTTTGATAGCCTTGGAGGCAAGCGCCTGTCCATTGCGATCAAGCCTGCCTATTAGGCTCTATTGACTGAGACATCTGTGTCACTGCAAATAAAAGACTCTTATTGATTTTCTTAACTGCTGTTCACTTCCCGTCCATGTTTCGAAGGCTGAAATCTTAATTATCTCAGATGCTTATTCAGTGCCTTCACACGATGACCTCTCCAAGCCTCATTGGCATTTCATGAATCAAGTACTTGTAGTGGAGCATGTCAAGATGACAAAGCTGGGTCTCCATGCTTGTCCTTTAATATCACCTGTAACATTGTATCCTAATAGATGTGCATGCCTTAAAACGGTGACCGTGTGACAGTGCTTCTGAAAGCCTTGCTTACTTAGCACACAGTCTGGAAAAATTAAGTTGAGCTGGCTCTGACAGCTGATTGTCATCCAGTGAGTGTGAATACTAATCCTTAAATACTCTGCATACAGCCGAGGACAAGTATAATCTTGATGGTCTTGAAATTTTAGGTAATTGTTTTTTGTAGCCCTGGGGATAGAATCCAGGGCTTCACATACGATAGGCAAGTACTTTCCCAATGACCTATACCCATCTCCCAAATTTTAGTTAGCTTCTATAAAAAAAATTTTCCCCTTTAAGCAGCCAAAGATTTGAAGTCTACATGTATGTATCCACATGTATGCAGTATGAGATAAAATCTGAATAAAAGAAAAAATATTCACCCTATGTTATTTTTCTTCAACATGCTTGCATTCTAGTTACTAATCGTACTTTATGTACAAGATGCTTGTATTCTTCAGCTGGAAAATATATTTCAAAACTGACAGAAATTAAGAAGCTTTAACTACATTTGTTTGACCCAGGCAATGGAAAATAACCTGTCATAAATTCCTTTTTCAAAAATAAGAAAAACAGCTTATTTCGCTGGGGAGCTTTCTGAATGTTCCTAATATTTTGACAATATAGTACTACAAATACCTTAGTGATTTCAGGATGGGGTTTTCTGTGGTGCAAGATTGTCATGGCAGTGATTTTTGACATTTAAAGATTGTTTATTGCTTTCCCTTAGAATGTGCTAAACCCCCATCTTAAATAGTATGGCATGTTTTCCCTTTTAATGATAAGCTCTTCCTATATTTGCTTCAATCACAGAAAAAAAAAAAGGCAAAAGAACCCATCATCTATGGATGCTTTCAAAATACCTACTTGCCCTAATTCCTCCATTGGTGCTGCAGAGTTAGAGAAAGTAAATGGTGGGCTCAACTGTTTTGTAGTGAGGTAATGTGCATAGGGTACACATCAATAAATCTCTGGGTGGAATACTGACACCACTTGATAAGGAAGATGTAAGTCACATTTAACGATACTTTAACACTTGAGCATAGTTTTTTTATTTTAGTGGTTTATGCTTTCAAGCATTAATAATGATTTGCTTTTCCACTAGCCTCCACTTAGATTTAATAAGGAATTCATATTAATCATTAAAAGAAAGGGACATGATTCTTCAAGATAATCAAATATTGACAGGTTAGAAATAGCTTTCTGCCTGGGTTCATTGATATAGGTTATGTGATATAAATATTTATTTCTTTTCTGTCACTCAGAGTAAATGCCACCAATTGATTCAGCATTGATATAGTGTCAACAGTTCATAAGAAACATTTGACTGGCTTGTGTTTTCCAATTAGTCTCTGCTCTATAAAGTGGGATTTACTAAATCTCTCCAATTGTCTGCTCATAGAGTGTGACTGCTTTCTGAAACCATTATTGCTTCGATTTGTGAAGCAAAGGTCTAGTGATAGGACTAGGTTCTGCCAGACCTTTACATAAAGAATAAGGATTAATTGAGCATTTTTATTTTAATGATTTATAAGGGATAGGTACTAATTTTTCTTAACACAGGCGGACAATAAACAAAGAACATTTTCTTTGCTAATCCATAATTGAATTGCATTTCATTTTTCCCCATTAACTTCATTAATATGATAAATCAAGCACCTTGTAAGAGGTTTAGTCTTTGGAAGGGACTCATTGTTTTCCTGTTACCATTTTGTGATGGAGGTTCTGTCCCAGTTTAAAAAATAAATCAAAAGCTATCTTTGGCATGTTTTATTGAGGCACGTAGATCAGCCTCACTGCTGTGTTTTCTGAATGCTTTTACCACTCAGATCCAGGGAGGCATCATCTGTTTAACAGCAGCCTATGTTTGAAAGTAACTTGAAACAGCTCAAAGGGCCAGTTTAAAGGATTTAAAAAGTGTTCAGCTACTCCAAGAATTGACGTTTTGTATCTCTAATATATTTTTTCCCTTTTAATGTTTAGCTTTTGTGGGAGAAAGTGACGACAGTATTTTCCTATCCTGATAAATCAAGCATAAATGTACTGTTGTCACAAATCTGAAAACTAATTCTACATCTTTGACTATTAAGAACTTAGTGCTTTTAGAAAAACTCTTCAAGGTAAAAAAAAAAGTAGGAAGAATTGATATCTTTGTAAAATAGCTTTAAAAATAGAGTTGTCACTACTATATAAAACTCTCATATTCTGTTGGTTCGTCTTAGATGTTGTAGGAAGGCTGAAGCATAAATGAGTCCATGTATGTAAAACAGAACTTCACAATGCCCTCTTCTCCCTGAACAGCCTGACTGCTGTGGGTCGTTGCTATGCTGTCTCTATTTCTTTCTTGGCTCCTGCTTCTTTTCAGATGGAACAGAGGCTTTGCCAATCATTTTTTTTCCCAGACTGTGTGCTTTCTTAGCTGTTGACATGTAGTCATCATAACTCCTGGGGCTTTTACTTTCTTTTCCCTCACATCTATAGTGTGTTTCTCATCTACTTTTGTTAGTTTAGAAAAAGAAAAAGGAATTTGAACTACATTTATTAGCTATTTGGCATCTTTGAATAAAAAAAAATCCCAAACTTTTTTTTGAACACTTTTTTATATGTGATTTAAAAACCATTTATCTTACAAACATCATAGATAAAGAATCGCTATTTACTGAGAATGCCTTTCAGTAGATAGTTAGCTTTCCTGTGGATCATTGACAGAGAGATGTGTCCCTACGTACGGTACCTGAGACAAAATATTAACATTAAACGTTGAATACACACACACACACACACACACACACACACACACACACACACGCGCGCGCGCGCACACACGCACTTGCGCGCCTAATTAAATTGGGTAAAATGGTCTTGAAATGCTATAAATTGTGATTTTTTTAATGATACTTGCTTCTATGTGTAATATTTAAATACAATACTCTAGAGGTTCATAAATCTTACCCTTCATTTTACACTAAATATTTTATGCTAAATATTTCTGTACTTTATTTTGCAAATTAATATCAGATTTAATTAAAAAGTGCACAGTGTTATTAGCTATTTGTTAATCCATTTTGATTTACTATTCTCAAATTTTTAAAATTAATTCATGGTTAAGAAAAAAGAAAATTCCAATAGTTTTCTTTTTACAAACTTGTAGCTGGTTATGATGGTGTGCATTTGTAGTCCCAGCATTCAGGAAACTAAAACTGGAAAAAAACCACTGGAGTTTAAGAGACCAGTGAGAAACTCCTTCCCTACTCTCATATACTTTTTAAAACATAAGAAGAAATATTTATGTACTGTAATAAATCAGAAAATTAAATAAAAAAGAATCTTAGTTTGTAATATAACAAATTTCAATTTAGCTAGACAAAGGTCAGTATAACTTTAAACATCATAAACTCTTTAATCTTTTTCAGTAGATATTGTCATTTTGTATGTGTTTGTGCTGGCTCTGGAGCTTCAATTCAGGGCCTGGGCCCTGTCCTTGAGTTTTTTATATTCAAGTTTAGTTCTCTACTACTTGAGTGCACTTCCACTTCTAGCTTTTTTGTGGTTAATTGGAGATCATAGTCTTGCAGACTTTTCTTCCATGGCTGGCTTCAAACTGTAATCCTCAGATCTCAGCCTCCTCAGTAGCTAGGATTATAGGCATAAACCTATCATCTATAATCATCTGGCTAGATACTATCTTTTAAAGTAATATATTTTTAAATTTGCTCTTCAAAACCACTAATTATAACAAAAATAAATTTAAAAAATGATAGGCTGGGAAGATGGCTCAGTGGTAGAGTGCTTGCCTTGCATGCATGAGGCCCCGGGTTCAATTCCTCAGCATCACATAAACAGAAAAAGCCGGAAGTGGTGCTGTGGCTCAAGTGGTAGAGCGCTAGCCTTGAGCTGAAGAGCTGAAGGACAGCACCTAGGCCCAGAGTTCAGGCCCCACAACCCACAAAAATAAATAAATAAATTAAAAAAATGGCTTACATTGTACTTAGTGCTCATGCATATAAATATACATTAGAAACCATTTTTCCTCCCCAGTTCTCCTTGCTAACTCTCTTGTGGAAGTTCCACTTGTCCTCTGATGCTGTTGTCTGCCTGCCACTCCCAATGAGGCTAAAATACTAGGAAGGCTGGCCACATTTCTGACCATAGACTTAAGCCCTTTTAGGGTCTAGACCCTATATATACTATATATCTACACGCTGTTTTCCCTGTATCTGTCTCAGAGCCCTGGTCTCAGTTTGTAGATGTATAAATGAAATTTCTCCTAAAAACTAACTTCAAGCCATGATGAGAGTATACTTTGTTGGGCAAGATAATGGTCTGAATTAAGTTGTTGGAAACGCGTTTAGACTACCTAGAGAAATTTTCTTAGGGAACTGGCCTTGTAGCCTATTTGTACTTACTAATAGCTACTACTCTGTATTTTTATTATTGACAAAAGTAAATCTAATAGCAGTTTTGCTAGGTTAGCATCTCCAGACAGTTTCTGTACTGCTTTTCTTCATGCTGTTTGAACGATTATCATTTAGCCCAAATAATATCATTTTCTTGTCTTTCTTTCATGCCACATCTATTATACAGGTAGTTTAAAGGTAATAAAGAACAGAATCCTCAAATAGGAAAGTAGTTGCCAATTTTTCTGACTTCTCTCACTTTTTTTAAAACTGACCTTAGATATAGTAATTAGCTGATTGTAAATTGCATCAATCAACTTGTACTACAATTAAATTGGGTGCTGAATTGGCCTTTACACATGGATCTGTCAATATTCTTTTAGGGATTGGCAAACAGGCTTGGAAAGGAAGCTGTTTCTGTTACCTATGCCACACTCCTAATTATCACGGCACTCTGAAGCTTCAACTTCAGAAATGTATGGAGGAAAAATATTTCCCTTGATAAATGAAGCTTTTTTTTAAATTCAATTGGTGGAAGTTTAGAATGAAACAGATATTTAAAGCTTTACTATAATGGTCTAAGAACAAACTAATTTTTTTTTCCAAGTGACATTGAATTTAAAACTATCCATTTTCTGCCCAGGCAAGGCAGTGCAATTCCCTGGAAATTGATTTTTTTTTTTCAGGGCTTACTTTGGCTTTTTCTAAGCTTTAGCTATATGGAAAATAATGCCTTTGTTAAGTCTACTTTGTGAATAAGGTTGGCAGTTAATTTTTAAGCAAGTGGGCCAGTGCATAAAAAATTACTGGATGCATCAAATAGTCTGCCTAGTCTTAAATTCATTTGATAAATGATTATGTAGGGAGTTCCTTAGAAACTCTGAAAATATTGTTTTGTGGGTATCGATGTAATTCACCGACCACTCATGATACAAATGAGAGTAGTATTTTTGGTATAATAAGTTTTATAGAACCTTAGTAGATACTGCATTCTGTTTTGTACATTAAATTATAAAAACAACTTTATAAAAATTACATGCCTGTATGTTTTCCCTTTCTTCGTTAGGTTTGACTGCATGTGCATTTTAAAGTGCATTGATTTGATACTTTTTCATCAGCATAATGTGACTTCTACCTAGTTATTGCTGTATACTGATTTATCATTTGTAAAGAAAAGCTTTTTCTACTCTAGGAAAATCATAAACATTATTCACTCCATTTGCTGAATGTTAATTATAAGGTCATCTGTGGAGTTTTTAAGGGCTGATTTATTTACAACTGATACATTAGATTACTGACTGTATATCTCTATGTGTGTTGTTTTCCCAAGTTTGACTTTGGCTATGTGCAGTGCTGCTTGGCATTGGTGGTTATATGCTGTACTGGAGACTGTTTTCTTATCAGCATCTCTGACCTGACCCTTTTGAGCTATGTTATATCATTCCATTTTGACACCTTTTATCAAACTTTAATGAAATGACCCAGGCAAACAAATTGTCATTAAACTTTCCATCACTTTGTCCCTTGGTATCGTCTTTTATAAATTGGACAGCAAATGTTGTATTGATCTTCTCGTTCTTGCAGCTGAACTTGAAATGACCCAGACTGCTTGTTGTTTATGGCCCAGAGTTGCTTTTCCTTGACATTTCCATCCACAGCATGACATCCTTTTTGTTTTTCTTTCTTGTGGAGATGAATGAACAAGACATACGGTATCGAGACACCCTTGGTCATGGCAACGGAGGCACAGTCTACAAGTGAGTAGTCAATTTTCCTTAAACTTTTGATCCACTTTCCAATTGCTGGGTATCCAAGTATTCCATTACAAAAATTTTACATGACCACCAACATTTACTTCCACATTTGACTCTACAATTTTGCAAGGTGTCTTCTACTTTCTCAAGAATTGCCTGAAAAGTGCATTTATATTGCCTTTTTAATATTTCTGAGTCCACCTTTCTCCTGGGTGAGCAGTTAATAGTCCACCATTAGCAAATGTATCAGTAACTGGCTTGAAGTTTAATGTATATATATTTCTTCGTTCTTTAACACCATCATGTTTTTAAAACTTGCTGGTACTTTATGCTAGTCCCTTACCTGTTTACGGCTATGCCCAGTGGTAGCCAAACCTTAAAAATACCATTGGTTTGCCCTGTGTTGACACTGTAAGTTATTAAAAAGCCTTTTCCTGTTGTATTTCCTTCTCGCCTCACCCTACTCCCCTGAGAGAATTCCTGCACACATTGATGAATATGTTAAGTTATAAAACTCTTCCTAAATTCTAGCTGCAGTGATCTTACCCTAAAGGAGTGTTCATTTTCATATTAAAAAATACTAACTGTAAAAAATAGTTCTCTCGACAGGGAAGTCTTCTTGTGCACTAGTGTAAACTACATAATGTAATATCTAGTACTTAATAGTCTGCAGTGGTGTATGAAAAATATTCCACTAGGAATTAAAAAATCCATACTCTGTAAGAAAGGCCTGAGGGAATAATAAAGTTTTCCTCCAGAGAGCTGTTTTCCATATATACTCTAATCCTGCTTCACATTATGATTGTGTTTTTACCTTATTTTAGCACCAATATTAATAGTTTCAGTTGTAAAAGAATTTTCTAATTGGTTACTTATGTTCTTAAAATTTTTAAGTTCTGATTATCCACATGAACACAGATAAAAATTGCCTTGTGGTCCCATGGCCTTGAAGGGTCACATTCTAAAATTTCTGACCATCCTTCATTTCTCCAAGAGCTTTAGAATAGAATTCTATTTCTTAGGGTTAGAAGCTCTTTCAGAGTCATCAGATCCAGTCCCTCATCTAGAGCTTCAGTCCCTCTATAGATACAATTAACACGTGAGTGCTTTCTCCCAAGTATAGTCCTTGAAGAACTTAGGTTCACATTTATCACTTATTTTTTTTTCCTACAGATGACTGAGTATTGCAAATAGTTGTTCTGTTAAGCCTGTCCACTATAAGAATTTAGAGAAATAAATAATAACATTTCTTATACCAGCATTGGTTCTTGCCCTTAAAATTTTGGAAGCTGAGTTTTTCCCCTGGATCAAGCTACTATATTCTTTCCCATGCAGCCCTGCACTACATAAATGGCATCTTAATCTCCCCTTCACCTTTATCTAACTTCCCTATTCTGGATATCCGACCCTGTTCTGAAGGTTCCTGAGGAGGAAATAAGGAACACTTGTGTTTCTTGCTTTCACTGAATCTTACATTGTCTTCGAAGGGAATCCAAAACCATTTCTTTGGACTCCTAACTTACCTGTATTATTTCATCAAATGTTTACCTTTGTATTTTTAAATTGAAGGCCTATTGTAAACTTAAGATAGATTAAGAAATGTGCTGGGCTCCAGTGGTTCACATCTGTAATCCTAACTACTCAGGAAGCTGAGATCTGAGGATCATGGTTTGATGCCAGCCTGGGCAGGAAAGTCCAAATCACCAAAAAGCCAGAAATAAAGCTGTAGCTCAAGTGGTAGAGTGCTATCCTTGAGCACAGAAGCTCAGGGGCAGTACCCACGTCCTGAGTTAAAGCTCCAGGACCTGCGCGTGCATGCAAGTGTGCGTGCACACACACACATATGTGGATGTGTATATATCCATACATAAATAGATTCATACACACACACACACACACACATAAAACCACCAAATCCCACTTAGTTACTAAATTTTCTAGATACCATATCTTCAGTGTTAATTTTTAAAAAAAAATTTTGATGCTAGAGATGAAACACAGGACCTAGCACATGCTGCACTCTACTGTTGATCTATACCTCCAGCATAGCTATTGAAATTTTCATCTTCTCTTAAATTAAGGCATAGGTGTGAGACAATGGGGGAGTATACTGAGAAGTGGACGACATTCCCATCCCCCAAGGAATAATTATAGTATGAAATTATGTTAATATTTTGGAAATTACTATTATTTGTGCTGATCCTGGAGATTGAAACCAGGACCTGGGAGCTCTCGCTGAGCTTTTGTGCTCAAGGTTAGAGCTCTACCACTTTAAGCAATAGCTCCATTTCCTGCTTTTTGGTAGTTAATTGGAGGCAAGAGCCTTCTGGACTTCCCTGATAATGCTGGCTTTGAACCACGATCCTCATATCTCAACCTCCTGAGTAGCTACAATTACAGGCATGAGCCACTGGCACCTGATGCTGTTTTGTTTTTTAAACCAGCTTTTGTTATGTTGCTCAGATTAGTCTTGAACTCCTGCTCAAGCAGTCCTCCTGCCTCAGCCTCCTGAGTACAAGTGTATGTCATAACACTTGATGCTTATGTGATTCTTCTGAGGAAAGAGGGTGAAGATTTTCAGTTATGTAACCTTTGTTGTTGATCACTGAGCTGTATCTCTGCCCTGCTTGCTTCATGTTATCCCAGAGTTTTTGTTCAACACAAAGGAATGGTAAAATCATCAAGAAATAAGAATCTACTCTACTAAAGTCTTTATGAAACATTGATGTATTATGATTGGATTTCTCCTACACTAAGTTTACCTTAATGGTGTTAGCTATGAAAGTTGTAGGTTTTCAAACAAAATGATTACATTAGAGGCTATGCTACATAAACTAGATGAAGAAAATATTGAAAAAGCCACTCATTGGTAACAAAACTGCCTAATGGGTCTATTTAATTTTTTTTGTGAAGTGTAATAAAACTAATAACTACAAAGCAGAAGTTTGGTGTTCAGTCTTATTCACTTTACTTGATGGGATATTTTGAATTTCAAGGGTTATAATATGTGTAACTGCAATGTATATTATTTAATAATGGATAAATTCTCATGTTTAAGCCTGTGTTTTCTACCATTATATGATATGAAATCTTGGCCCCAGATAATTAAACCAAATACATGGATTCTCTAAACTGTTCTCTGCATTAGAACCTAATGAGACCATTTTAAGTTGGCATTTCTCACATTACCAATTTGTGCTATATGAATCATAAAGGAAATATTCTAAAGTATAAGCCAGAGCAAACAAGGACAATTTAGTTAAAGGAAATGGGTATATTTTCATTATTACTTCATTTCCCAAAGGGTTACAAGATTTTCAACTTAAAGAAAAGGGGGTGGGGATTATATATGACATGTGTTTTAGATTCACAGTGAATTTAAAAAACTTTGGTGTTACACTCTGAGTTTGAATACTACAGCTGTCATCTATTAGCTCTGGGACCTGGTACAAGTTATAAAATGTATCCTGCCTCTGATTGCCTATCTGGAAAATGGGGATAATAATGTCTATCCTGTTAGGTTGTTACGGAGTTAAATGAGATAATCCGTAAAATCTTTAGCACTGTGTGGCACTTATTAAATGTTAGCTACTGGTACTGGTAGTACTAGTAATGGAAAAATTATTTCAACTTTGTAATTTCTGCTCCTGCTTGCTTGACCAGGACTCTGTAAGAAATGCCTATAAGCAAGCTTTAAGAAGTTCTGCATTCATATTATAATATGCATTATAGTTCTCTTTTTTCTCTAGGTGTGCTATAAATGACAAGATTGATTTATATATTGTCTTACCTACAGTAATTTTCTAAAAGCTTCAAGGTATTTCTTTTTTATCATAACATTTTCAGGTTACTGTAGGGCAGATGGCATAATGTCAAGCCCACTGGAAACTATGAGGTCTGGTGGTTGTACTGTGTACTGTGGCAAAGGCAGAACTTAGTATCTTTCCCCTCTCCTCTCCTCCCCTCCCTTCTTCTTTCCTTTCCCCGTCAAGGCTTCAAGCTCTCACTAGCCTTGCTTCCTCATCGCAGGTTTTTCCACCACTTAAGCCCTGCCTCCAGCCCAGCTGTTTTGTTAGTTAATGGGAGATGGAGTTTCTTGGACTTTACTGAAAAGACTGGCTTTAAACTTTAATCCTCCAGGTGTCAGCCTCCTGAGTAGCTAAGGTTACAAGTGCCACAAGTGTCTGGCTAGTAAGGATCTTTGATTAGATTCTCCCCTTGTCCAGCTAGTTTTAGAGATTGCATTATCATTCACCTAATAAGGGTTTCCAACATAAGGATACATATATTAATTGATTAATTTTCTTTTAATTTTAGTAAAATTTAAAACTGATTACTTAGCCTCCACTGACCCATCATTCTAGTCATTTGTCTCCTTTTCTTGGGTAGTATGTCCATTGAAACAAATGTAATGAGCCAGGCATGGTGGTGCATGTGCACAACCCCATCTACCTAGAAGCCTAGGCAAAGTATTCTTGAGATCCCATCGTAACCAATAAGAAGCTGGGCATGGTAGTATAAGATGGCTATCCTGGCTACACAGGAAATATAAGTAGGAGGATCATAGGCTAAGCTGTCCTGAACATAAATGCAAGACCCTGTTTGAAAAAAGGTGAAAGGAATTGGGGGCATGACTCAAGTGGTGGAATGCTTCTCTAGCAAGTGCAAGACCTTGTGTTCAAAAACCTCTTCAGTACCATGGGGGAGGGGGGGGAAGAGGGAGTGAGGGAAGAGGAAAGAGAAATAAATAAATGAATATGGTGAACATTCAGTGATTCCAAAGCTAGCCACTAGATTGATGGAGCTCCTCAAACTTTGGGTTCAGAAATACAATAACATTTAAGTTATGCTAAGTCAGTTAATCCAGTAATCACCACATATGTGTATATATTTGAAATGAATAGTGTGCTTTCTGGTTCTAGCTCCTTCCCATAATACAATGAAGTGTCTAGTCTGGGCTTTGAGTTGAATTTTCTGTGATTTACTGAGTACTGTGCTTACTG